TTTCTCTCCTCTAAATTCTCCATAATTAAAAAAAAAAAAAATCCATGTGACCTTGGACTCTCTCAATTTCATCTGTCTCTTACAGCACACTCTTTGCTAACCATTCAGCACACTGCAAGCCCTGATAAAAGTAGTTAATGTTTACTGAAACCTGTGCATGAACTGTACTAAACCCGATAGGAGTGAAAAGGCAAAGTTCTGCTAACGGCATCCATGTACTATAAAGGGAGCGGGGGTTAGAACAAGAGTAATTTTATTTTTCTATTTTGAAATCTAAAATCTCTTGTGAGAAAGATGTGAAAATCCAAATTTCCAGTTTAATAATACATATTGCCCATGAAAAGATGCTCTTCATCTATTTTGTCATCTCTTTGGAATTTTTTTCTTTTACACAAATAAACCTCAATGGCTCCACAGATTCTTCTAAAAACATTGTTTTGTACAGAATTTAAAACTGAAACATCTGTATTTCATGTTCTCTCACACCTCTTTGAAGGCCCATCTACCTTATCATAACTGATTTTATTTATACTCTGAAACATTTACCTCAACAGCCATATATATTATAGCCAAGAACTATTTCAAGGAAAAAGAAAACATTTCAGTTATCTAAAATATTTTTCTTCCCCTCTTTAGTTTTCCAAATGTCAACAGCTAACTTCTAGTAATTCTAATACTTCTTCTCATTACATTCACTCTGTATTGAATTAAGAATCAGAGCTCTTTTTTTCTTCCATTGCCACACTATCCCTTTTTCTCCAATAACCTCAATTAAAATAAAATTTCAACTTACACATATACACAGACACAGATTATTCAGAATGGGATGCTCTCAGGTGTTTTAAAGGCAACTTTCTCTCTTCCTTACCCACCCTTGCCTAAAGCGCAGCAATAGAATCGGTCACCTTGGAAACAAACATCACCCAGTGTTTGCAGAACAAACAATGGTACCTTTTCAGCCAGTACCAGGCAGGCAGGGCAAGGGGCAGCCAAGCAATTCTGGGCTGTGCAGGAGTGTTAACATATTAAATTCATTCAGGGACCAAAAGGCAGTTCAGAGCTAAAAATGAAGCACTCACCAATGTGTGAACCTTTGGCTAGAAACCATACACAGAGTGAGGTTGAAAGTGGAATAAGGGTATAGCCCTGGTTAGAAAAAAAAAAATCTTTTGATTATTTTTGAAATTGTTTTAGATACCTTATGACTAAGGAAAACTATACTCTTGTCACTGAGGGATTACCTTCTCTAACCCCTAGGAAAAAGTTGCTTTTTAAAAAAAAGGCATGTTTCCTCTAATTACTCCTACCAAACCATCATGCCATTCTTCTTTTACTATGCCACAAAATATTGGTTTTTAAATTGCTTGGTACCTTAACCTATTTATGAATTTCCAGTATTGATTTTAAAAATCTGCGTGTAGCCTAGAACATTGTCAGTTTCCAGAATACATACATAACTTATAGGGGACAGCAATAACTACTTTTTGACTTTGGCTAACAATAATTACTAAACTGTCATTTACTGAAGACTTAACCAAAGCTAATCATTTCGAGGGGCTCGAGTTTTAGAGGAGATTCTGGTTGTTACTGTTTTTTAAAAGCTCAAATGGGCAGTTAATTTAAAAAATAAACACGTATTCTTCAGCCCCTTCAGAATAAAATTTTTAAATGTCCAACGAAAGTAACAGTTTCCTCTTTTTTTTGGGTGTGTGCCGAAGTTTTCCTTCCCACCAATTAAGAGAGAAGGCTGGGCCCAACTGAATTATTTGGACAGGAGTTTGATGTCAGTTAAATACCACAGTAACTGGCATTTTCTATCACATCAAGACCAAGGGACAAATGCCTAATTAACATGGACCAACATGCAGCTTCAATTGGAAAAGTGCCTGTCCTTTTTCTTCCTTTTTTTCCTTACCTCAAAGATTTAGGTCTTTAACATCCTTGAGTTAAAGTGCACAGAGGGTGTCTAATACCATCTGACTGAGGTGTAAAAGTCTAGCTAACTAATGCTTCTTTTTCAGTGACAGTAAATCACGTCACATTATTAATCTTCCTGACTGGGCATAAGTGAGTGAGAAGGGCTACTGAAAAGGAGCTGAACGGTCAGACTGGGTACCCCTGAAAAGGAAAAGGAACTCTGGAAGTGATGACTGATGACACTGGAAACTGGCGAGAGACACTGAAATGCAGCCGTGGGCCTAGCATCAGGCAGCCACTCTGAAGGCTGAGGCTGCAGCTCCAGGCCCAGAGAGGAAGAGGAGGAGTCAGGCCAAGGCAAAGTGACTCCCATCCTTCCAACCTCTCCTCCCAGCACCACAGAGTGAAGCTCAGCCACAGCCTTGCCTTCCTTCATCCAGTGCTGCACCTTTCCAGTGCTTTTTGTTTTTAGGGATACCAAACAAGAATCACTAACTAGAGTACTTTCAGCCAACGACTCAAGTAACTGGGCCAGTTGGGCTAGTTTCAGTTCATCAGTAAAACAGTAACTACCTTAGCATTTGGCTTAAGTTTTATTTGCCTGTGTATCTGGCACCCCAAAATACACATGCATATCATCATACTCGTGATGGCATACTATAAATTTATCAAATGCATTCCCCGAATGCCAACATCTGAAGAGAAGAAACCAACAGTCAAATGACAGCTTACTAACCACAGCCGGGTCTGTACCCCCAACCCTCTCCTCCGGATTCCAACTTCCTATCCCCTCGCTCCCCACACCCCAGGGGCAGAGAGAAGCATCAAGGAAGCCACTGCAGTTTCAGTCCCTTCCTGCTCCTGCCTGCTCTTCCCTGGCCTTCTGGGAAAGTTGGAACAGTACTGCCCACCTCCTGACAACAGCTAAAAGTGGCAAGTCAGCTCCAGGCTTTGGGGAAGGAACTCCCAGTGCTGGGCCACTCCCGCCGCCAGATCCAGGGTGATGACCCCAAGTGCAGCAGCTTCCTCTGCCTTCTGGAAGAACATCTCAAAGGGGCAGAGCTGGGTAAGGAAGTGAAAGGAAGAGGCCAGGTGCCAAGGTGGTTTGATCTCTTTCCCCTCCTCAACATGTCTGTCAAGTTTCTGTTACACTGACCCTCCTGTAAGGAGGGTGTGAACCGATGCATACCTTTTTAATAAAACTCTGAGGGTAACACATGCTTGATTAACGACAGGCTTTTAAGAGCCGCTTGTTAATACTGTACTCTTGAAGGCATCAGGCTTCAGAACTCAATCCATTTTGAATAAAGATATTTATGCTGTTTATAGATTGAAATGTCTTTAGAGACTCTTATTCATTATTTTGTGCACTAGTACACCTAAAAATCACCCTTTCTCCTGTTCAAGAAGGTAGGTAGGTTCAGAGAAAACTTTACCTGTTATTTCTAAGTTTATTATATATTCACACCCCCTTCCCCTCAAATAACATCTCTCACAAAGAGCTCAGACATCTCTCATTTTCTCCATATTACCTACTCGGTGGGACCCCAAGCAAGCTAGTCAAGGAGAAAACCCCCAGACAATTAAACTATACTTCACAATAAACAAAAATCCTCAAGGTATCACTTATAGCTCACTTCTATCTTTTAAAAAACTGTGATTACAGTCATCAATAAAAGATAAAAGGAAGGCACTAATGGGGACCCATTTCAACTCAGACTTCTGCTAGACTGGGAACAATAACATTGCTTTGGAATTCCTGAAGTTATGTTTGGATGGCTTCCACCCGGAGAAAGCTTTGGGGTCTGTGTCCCTCAGGAGTAACCAGGGCCTGTGATCTGGGCCGTGGCGCCTCACCCAGCTGAGTACCAGGCGGAGGAGGTACCGGTCTTACTATACAGATGGCCACAGCACTTTAACTGAGGCCAGCTGACCCTAGCCACCTGCCACCTCTTTGCCTAGGTCCATTTCATGAAAGTCATTCTTTTGGCATGTGTTGTAAAAAATCCAGCTTCAGCATTTGTACAACAAAATGATCTTTTAGGGGTACTGGCTTCCCAAGCCCTGCTTGTACCTGGGCTCAGCGTGCAGGTACTTACTGTCCACTTTCCTTTGCTAAGAAACTATTGCAGGTTCCCTGCAGCAACTTGAAAAAGCTATAAAAGCTTGAAACAAAGACATTAAATGCTTCTGGGAAATATGCAGACACTGCCTACAGTGTAAATAAAATATCTGCTCCTAGAAAAAGGTAGAACTGAGACAGGGTCTCGCTATGTGGCCCAGGCTAGCCCCCAACTCACAGCTACCCTCCTGCTTCAGCCTTCCCACAGCGCAAGGATTATAGGCGTGTGTCACCACGCCCGACATTTTTAAAATTCTGAGACAAGGTCTCACTAAGTTGCCCAGGCTGTGCTGGAACTTGCAATCTTCCTGCCTCAGGGTTCCAGAGTGCTGGAACTACAGACGGGCACCACCACATCTGGCCACGTCTCTCCCTTCAGATAACATGCAGACATCAGACCAGAGACAGACAGCTGCCTCTCCCACCCCATCTTGGGAAGTTAAGCAGCAACAACTGCTGTCAGAAACCAAGAATAGTGACAGAAGAGGCACCACCGGTAAATAACCACAACATGCTCCCGGCATCCATTTTAAAAAGAAGAAAATACAACCACAGGAGAATGGTTAAGGAAGGCCTGGAAGAAGGCCTCACTCCACTGGATGGTCTTGCAGCTGCAGGCCTGCCCTAAAGCAGCTTTCAGGATGCTCAGACTTCCCCTAGACTTATGGTACTTTTCCTTCATGTGAAAGGACAATAGCTTATATCCTCACAAAGGTTTTTCTGTTTGCTTGTGCTGATTAAAAAGAGAAAAAAAAATACTGCCTGTGGGCATCATTATGTCACTTCCTGAGACTATGTTACAAGAAATACACTCTGCCCATTCCAGGGATGGAAAAAACAAGGCATAAAGTATTTCATTAACCATAATCAAGATTGGGCTCGGCTTTAGGACTTAGGCTTCTAGATGAATCTAGTTCCTTCTCTAATAGACCACCACAGATAATTAAAAAGGCCAAGGGACCTATGTCAGAGGTATGCTGAAATGCTTCTCATCTAATGAATTCAATCTAGTTCTCTTTCGAAATGAGGACACGGAGACGTTGTTGAGGGCTGCATGGCTGCCAGTGGCCGAGCAGGTGGGAGCAGAAACCTCTTCCTAACTTGTCACACAATGGCCTTCAGCTCCTCTGTGACTGGTGACTGTAGTCATTCCTGGAGTTAATGAATTCCACCTGCAGTTCAGAACAGATCATTATTTTCCTGACATTAGACCTGGGAGTTATTCATATTCAAGACCTGCCTTCCTCAAGGGCAGGGGCCTCCAGGGAGTTATTTCAAGGGAATCACTTATTTATCTATTCAGCAAGCACCTACAACCAAGTTTACACATATATGTACTATAACTTTGCAAGCGTAAAAAAGATGCTGCTATAATTAAAAAGTTATTGGCCTGGGAATTTAGCTCAGTGGTTCCGGCGCCTGCCTCGCAAGCACCAGGTCCCGAGTTCGATCCCTGGCACAAAAAAACAAAACAAAACAAAAAAAGTGAACATTATAATTAAAAAGTTATTAAAAGTTTTTTGTCATTGAAGCTTCCAAACATTCTAAAAATATGATTCAATCATACTTGGTTTGGAAATTTTTTCTTTATGTTAAAAGAGGTCTTTATGTCTGAAAAGATGGGGAATAACTGCTGTACAATATCCAAATAACATGACACTGATTAGAACATCTCATGCCACTGGGAATATCCACAACACAGTGCACTACAAAAACATTTCCCTTAATTCCCCCCTTATTTTTTTATTTCCAGTGCTGAGGATCAAACTCAGGGTCTGGATATACCTGCAACCCCAAGTTTGACTCTCACTTGTTTGTGGTAAAAAGACAGTAGATTACATGCTATCCAAAAAATAAACCCATTTCTATTAACTACATAGTTACAATTTCCAGTAAAAATTTTAATCCTAGATTGACTTCATTTATCCTAAGAAAGTATCTTTCCTGACTTTCCTATGAGAGTCCCAGGAAGGCAAAGTAATGAAGACGGTAGCCTTTGACCTGGTCCCCAAAACAATAGGATTTTCATGTCAAAGAATATTTTAACATACGCAAAAAGACTTATCGTATCATATTACATTTTGGAAAGATACAGTATAAATTAAAGGCATATAAAGTGTCTATTGCCCACAAACAGATCTCATTTTTGCAGCACATGCTACATCCAATAAAAAAACCATCTAGGAGGAGCTATATAGTAACCTATCTACAATGGTCACCTCAGACTTCAGGGAAGAAATTATTTGACTTTCTTTTCTATTTTTCTTTTTTTCCCCCTTCAGTTCATCTAGATTTTGCCTCAGTGAATGTAAGTCCTATGTGCACCAAAATAGTTCAGAAATCTAATGGGAACACTAATGTTTAACCCTTAGGACTATTTCCTGTGTAATCCTGGAGTAATGGCACACTTGCCAATTATCTACCGTGAATACGATCCTTTTATGAGAGTGTTTGAACAGGAGTGTGATTTTGATTTACCAGCCTGTGGTGGATTATTGATATAATCTGCTCGCTAACATCATAGCAGGAGCAACTGTGGCTCCACCACGCTAGTGTTAAGACAAGCCCATGGAGGACAAAAACCCCGGCTCCCAGAATTGGCAGGGTGCGCTGACATCTCAGGGCAGCCAACACTCAAAACCCAAATCCGCGCCCAGCTCTACCTTTGCCCCTCTGCCACCCTCATTTCCTCACCTGTAAATTAAAAGGATGTAAGGGGGATAAAGGAAGTGTGATCCCTGAGGCCCTTTCCTTTCCAGCACAATACTCCTTGACTTTAAGTGAAGATGCAAATACTGTTTAATCAAACCTTGCCAGACATAACCACTCACCCAGGGTAGAGCTGAACTGATTTTTACAAATTTTACTACTTGAATCACTTGATAGATAGTAAAACAAAGATAGGAACACAGATTCAGCATTCTTTTAAAGATTCAGCTGCTAGCAAATTTCCAGGTTACTAATTCATGGGATGATCCTGCCCAAAAATAAAGGTAGGGGCCAAAAGAAGTCTCCACGGATGACAAATATACTTCCACGCTGCTTACTGGATATTTACCATGGCCAGATATGGGGTATTTATAGTGTTTTATATCATGCTCTATAATCCCACGACACCGATCTGATTACTCCCATTCCACATAGTGAAAAAAAAAGAAAAAAAAAGGTCTGCAGTGTGAAAAGCAAAGTCGTTTTCAACCACGGTGTGTGCCTACGAAGTCACCCAACTGCTCTGTCTCAACGGCTCACCTGCCACACAGGTAAAATGACCCTCGCCTCATCCATTCCTTTGTCCAGTACTGACAGAGCACCAGGTGCCAGGCGTGTGGCAGTGAATATAAAATCTTAAAAACAAAACAACAAAAAAAAGAATTAAGATGTGTTAGGTCCACGTGCAAATTCCCCAGGATGAATGCGACCATTATGTACTGCAAACATATACTAATAAAAACAAAAGCTCTAGTATGAAGGAAAGATTTTTCTAGATTTTTAAAAGGCGGGGGGAACGGGATAAAATAAAATAAAATTTATTTTAAAAATAAAAGGCAAAACCTGTGCCTAATAGTGCACGCTTGATAAACACTAGTTCCCTTTTCCCCCCATTTAACAATGGAAAAAGCATTAGAAATCAAACCCAATAGAAGCCATCAGCTTTGTCAGCCTCAAAAAAGAAAAGGTTTTACTTAAACGAATGCAGAGAACAAAAATTAAGAGTATTTGCGTTGGAGTACATTGGTCTGGGTTTGAATCTAAACTCTCACTAGCTGGAGCGACCTTGGACAAGTTATATAACTCTAAGCCCCAGCTCCCTTGTGTGTAAAGTGGAAATAACAACCTCATAATGTGGATACAAAGGTTAAATGAGATGAAGTACAAACGTAGCGTTGCAGTGTCTCCTACATAATGGCACCTAGGATGGACGATTAGGAAAATCTCCCCCAACCCATCTTCCACATTTTCAAAATGAGGGCAATTACACCAAGGACAAGACTGCTGTGAGGGCTACAGAATAAATCACAGAAAGCCTTCGAGGTGACTGGCATACGATGGTACTTATTTGCTTCCTGAAAATATTAGCTGTGACGAATGGGGAGGGGCACAGGGATGGTATCCTTCAGCAGCGGACCCCGGGGCCCAAAGCTGAAGAGAGAAGGGCTGGGAAAAGCCATTCCCAGGAAGAACACAGTGCTCCGAAGCACCGGGCACTGGGCTCTGGGCTCTGGGCTCTGGATCTGCCCACAGAGCGGGATCAGATGCAGGCGGTTGTGAAATGACAAATGCAACTGAATCTGAGTCACCTAGGATGACGTGCAGAGTGTGTGGATTAGGTTGGCCCTGGCTCTGGCTGCCTCTCTTTCAGGCACTTCCAACTTCACCAGAGGGCTGAGAAGAGCAAGGAGAGCAACGGGAAGGGATTTGCTACTACTTTGCCTGTTTTCCGAGGAAGGCATACTGGCTGTGGAGGATCAGAATGATCTGGAGAGTTTTCAGGAAAAGCCATGTCCATCCAGACTTGATCTGGCCCCAGGCAGAGCAGGTGAGGGGACCCTCCTCCCCTTGCGGGGTGGAGGTGGCAGATGGGCACAAATGTCAGGACCACAACACCTGGGGCTGTGGCAGGTCCACAGGGCTCAGAGCTGGCACCCTGACCACTCAACATCACATCTCAGGGCACAGATATGCAGGAAAGCTTTGGGCCAGTGGGCTTTCCACATGAGTCCACCCACCACCAGGCACCCAAACCCTCTGGGTCAGGGCCAAGCTGGAAGCTGGGTGCCCTGCTGCCTGGCCCTGCCTTTCCTTTAACAGGACGTTGTCCCTCAAAGGTGGTTCACCGGGAATTGGTAGCCACTAAGTCAAACATTGAGCCAGAGGATGTGATTCAGCTTTTCAACAAGTCCAAGGCTGTAAAGAAATAAAACTGCCTTGTGTGTGTACATCAGCGAATAGCTTTAGGCAACTCAGAGATCCTGCCCAAGGATCCACCCTGTCCTTACTGCCGTGGGATGCACGCCCTGCCTCGGGCCTGAAGCAGAGTAAAGTGGGCCACGGTGGCCACCAAAGCAGAGGCCAAACCGTGTCCCCCCCTTCTGAGAATGTCCCCAAGGCCTCTGCAGGCAAACCTGGCAGCTGTCTGCTCAAGCACCTAACACTCCCAATGATTTACACAAGGGAAGGCTGACTTCTGCCCTACCCCACCGGCCCTATGTAACCTTCCAACCGTGTCATCTTCAAGTACATCATCTGCAACACCAAATTACACCCTGGGCTCCCGACCGACCTGACATCTCCCCTGACATCTCCCCGGGACCTCATCCCGTTTGTGCTTTTCCTGGAAGTGCAGATCCAGTCCCATGAGCTTCCGAGAGTCCTGGCCTTCCCATGGGAACTTGGCTCAGGGTCCACATGCACTTTGAATTCCTTTCATAACATAAACTCCCCGAAGGCAAGAACCACCATGCTCCCCCATGCCTGAACCAAGAGTCCCGAATACAGCAGTTGCTCAATGAAGGGTATTTCAACTGAAGTTGGAAGCAATCAAATAACGCTCAGACCCAAGCAAACTGATGAGAAAAATCAAGACCAGCGAATTAAGCAGTAGGAACTCTCCAGGTGCCAATGTGGAGGGAGATTATCTATACCCAAAAGAATAATTCTTGGGCTGGTGGTGTAGCTCAGCAGTAGAGCATTTGCCTAACATGTGTGAAGCCCTGAGTTTCATCACCAATACCACCACCAAAAAAAAAAAAAAAGAAAAGAAAAAATATTCACACTGTAGAAAAGGGCTGTAACACTTCCTGGTTGGTAGACTGTCACTGTAAACACCTCCAAGCCTCAGTTTCCTATCTTTAAAAGAGAAAAAAGCAGCGATACCTCAAGTGGCTGTGACCATTACACATGGGCCTAACTGGTGTTTTCCTCCGCTACCCAGGATACCTGATGGTCACACATGCAAGAGGAACCTACCGGGCAGCACTTCCAGATGCCTCCCCCGGCTCTCCTACTGCTCCCTCAAAGCCCCGCTTCAGCTTACGAGTGCCTCGCTTTCTCCTAGCTCAAGATGACAGAACGTTAGAAAAACAAAAAAAGGTTCCAACAATGGCTAAAATCATAAAGTACATCAATCAGTTTCAGGTGATGAAAATGAGTAATGAAGCCCTGTGATCTGTCTAACCCACCGAATCGACGGGGGACCCTCTACGTTTCCCCACCCTCCCAGCAGGCTCCTTTGGTCCCCAGTACAACTTTGAAATACATAAAGCCATACCTATAAAAAAATTAATTTCCTTCCCAGAGGACAGAGGACTCTGAACACCTAAAAGTACAAGGGAATACTGAGTCTCTGCAGTAATTACTAAGCCACTAATTGTCTTTGGGGCCTGCTATCTGGCTTCAGTCACATCCACCCCAATTCTGCGAGCCTTGGGGGCACAGGGCTCTCTCTCCTGCCTGCCCATCTCAGTGAGGAAGACGAATCCACAGGGCCTCTGAGGAGCAGAGCTGTCACCTGGGCAGGGATGTATGCTGCGCAGGTGAGCAGGGAGCTGGCAATGGCCGGCTGTAGGGCAGCTGGGTCTCAGGGACAGATTTGGTTTCTGCCGGAGGCCTCTGAAGCTCTTCTGATCAACAGGACTGGGAATCATCCAGTCCAAGCCGGTGTCCACCCGCCAATGTGTCTGAAGGAAAAGTAATGAGTCTTTCTCTTATGAAGACTTCTGCTCTCTGATGAGCTTAAGTAAGTGCCAATTAGTAAAGTATAATTAAGGAAGTTTAAATATTATCTAATTGAATTCTACTTGGCTGTAAGTAAATGTTCCCACCTTCCTTTCCCCCCATTTTTATTGTGTAGTCCTGGGGATGAAACCTGGGGCCTTACACATGCTGCCCAAGCATCCTACACCACTGAGCACCCCGTCCCTCCAACTGCTACTGAACAATGCTCCAGGAGGCAGCTCTTCAGGTTGAGCTGGAAAACCTTTACAAGGTGGGCGGCGGGGGGGGGTTATTTCATTTAAAAGGGTGCCAGACTCTGCTTTGCTAAACAGGACGTCGCCTCTCCTGCCTAATTTTCTTACAGGGTGACAGTGTTCTCTCGGACACACAAGGCTCCTCACATCACAGCCCTGCTTCAAAGCACCCGATGGCCCACAGCGGCCTACACAACTGAGGCCCAGTCTGTCTTTCCGGGTCAACACCTCTCACAACCCAACTCAATACAACACCCCCAAACCTTGCCCTCAAGTGACCCTCGACTTCTTGCCCGAGCCTGTCCCCCAGTAAGCTTCAGCTTCTCCCCCTCCAGGTCCTGCCCTTCCCGGAAGTACTGTATGTGCTGCTATCCCAACCCTTCACAGGTGGAGGCCTCACTTCTCTCCCCAGCCACTCCCCACTTGCAGCTCCTGTGTCCAGGTGTGAGATGCTGGGGAGTTTCAGGGCAGGGACCCTGTTTTACTGAACTTGAGCTCACCAGTACTCGGTGTAGGTACTGAGGCAGGGTGGGTGACACTGGCTTGCTGATGGTGATATTCGGTATTTGAGGAGAAGAGAGCATACAACGTCTCCTGTTCCAGACTGCTTCTCACTACTCTCCTGCTGAAACTACCACGCCAAGGCTTAAATTCTCTATTTGTTACTAGTTGCAAAACACTCCTCCTCCAGCAGCCCACCCAAAACAGGAAACAGACCTTCAGGTACTCATCTCAGTTCAAGATCTGCCATTTCTACAACCTGCTCAGGTGCCATCCCCAAAACACTGAGGTGTGCTGTCGTCCAGCCCGAGAGGCTCCTCCTGCCCAGGCACCACTTAAAAAATAAAAGCAAGCAACAAATAACATCTCCTAGAGGGCATCTCACTCGGATCTGGTCAAATCTTAAAGAGATGGCTGGTTATCAGATCCATTCTGTTGCTTCCCCTACACATCTCTAGCACCATAGATCATTCAGTCTCTGAGGGTCGCCCCAGAGGATAATTATACCAACTTGACAAGATAATAAGAAAGTAACAATAACCTAGTACAACATAAAACAATGGCCCTGTTTTCCAAGGCACTGGCCTTGCAGAAATCCAAAGCAAAAACAAACTTCCCAGACATATGGCATGCTGTTTCCAGTTAAAAGTGGCCAACACATGAGACTTCCTTTGCAACAGGGCTCTGGCACTCTCTGTGAGTTAAAAGGGGGGAAAGGTACAGAGAGGAGAGCCTCCCGCTACCTATGCCACGGTCTCCTTTCCTTTCTGGGCATCTCTTGCCACTGAAAGACCACCTCCTTCCCCAACCTCACTTTTCTCCCAGGAGGGCAGTGGGAAGTCCCTTCTCAGCAGGATGTGCTCAGGGCTCCCCCA